ACATATATGCCTACATAGACATGCGTTTCACAGAAATATATCAAAATTTTCTGAGGGAGCATGCCTCCAGACCCAATTTCATTGTTATAATTATCTTGCATTTCATTAGGCTTGTAGTAGTGAACGTTTATGGGTATTTTCTAGACGACTGCTGTTGTTGTTTTTGTTGCTGTTGGCTTCGAGACAAGATGGGTATCGATGGAAAATATCAGAATGCAAAGAATAAGGAATACGACGCGACTGCGGAGAAACCTTACTCAGCTCTGTACAAGTTTCTCTACTTCTCGCTTAAATAGTCCTTATATGTAATAATCCATGTATCATAGATGTTTAATATCAACCTCGTTCCCAGGGCTTTCGAAGCCCTGGGAACGAGGTTGGTTTAATATATAGTCGTTTTGGTTACTTCAGGGCATTTTTTAACTATATAACTACTGGGGCATTTACCCCAGTAGGCCTTTTGCTTGTCCCAATAGGGAAGCATGATTACTATGTGGAAAAGGCCCTCATTGAGACTTTGCCCCAGTTAGTTGTAATTTCTTTAAAAAATGCCCTGGGTTACTTTGAATGATTTTATTTAGAAAATGAAGATTTTATGTGGCTGAGATGATCATGATACGTCAGTTTAGGCAAAGAGGCTAAAGATTCATTTTAATTTTCATAAGTAACTGTAGCAACACACGGGTCATTTCGAGACGAACTATCTGACCTGCGTTATTCATTTACACAGCTTGGTTTGACTGTGAGTCTATGACGAATAAGAAAATATATACGAGTTAATAAGTGTAAATAAAACATATGACTATATTCTTAAAATTGTAGATTATACATGTAAAAACGCACAAGTTGTGACAAACTGCGGCAGACTTTAGGCAAATGCTGTTCCAACAACTTGTCATCAGGATGTGTTCGCACTGCTTGTTCCCAGCTTGCTATAAGGTTGTTGAGCTCAACAGACTTGTTACAAGTTGTTGCAACAACTTGTTATCGTCTTGCAATTGAACAATTATTAACAAGTTGTGAGTGACAACCTTCTAGCAACTTGACAAAATAACAGCATTGCTACAACCTACTGACAAGCTTGCTACAATTAAGCCTGCTGTTGTGAACACATCTTGTTGACAGATTGTGAAATTTGTACGTGCGTAAATGGACGCGTTATACCAATTTATAGTAATGTGTAATAATGTAATATTGAATATCGCACATAAAAAAATATTGCACCGTTTATTTTTGGGTTTGTCGAATCGAATTCCCAAATGGGGATGCACGTTCTTTAAAATGCGAGTTCACGAATTAACACAGGGCGCGTTTCATTATTCAGACCAGTAAGACCGATCAAATGTTTGAATGAAATATAAAATTTTGGGGTTTGTCTGATCTTACCGGAAATTTTGGAGAGATTTCCATTTCGGTCAGAATTCCGAAAAAAAATGGCCAAGGTCTTTCCATCAAATAAGAAACAGAATTTCTCAACTTTTTCCGGCCATTTTTACTTTTTAACTATACCAGAATGCATTACGATTCCAAATGGCGTCTTTATTTATGAAAAGATCTATTTAATCTTCGGACCCGACTTCGTAACTAGTCGGACATTAGTCGGAATAATTAATTGCTGTATCAATATAGCGCGGGCGCAAGGGTTGTCAAGCTTTTCTTGTATCATGGCGACAAGACACGAGTTTATTTATGCTTTGCATTTCATTAAAGAAACAGCGAGTTTTTGTCGTCAAGAAACCTTTACAAATGTCATCAAACGCAAGGAAAGATGACCCAATAATCCTTTAATACGAAACCGTTTCGCTTTTTAAGGTAGGATGGTGAAAACCTCTTTAAAACATGCTTTAAACAATGACATGTATCCATGTTTTTGAACAAGTGTTGGAAATTTACGGGCTAATTTTGAAACTGTTTTGTATTTTATAGTGTATGTAACCATTGAACTTGATGTGTGACAAGTGAAATTGCTCAAAAATATATTTAAATGGGTTCTAAGTCCGTAACGAAATCTGTAGCAAAGAAATTGTGAGTATCTCTTGACATTTTTTAAAAATATAACATGTTAGAATATTTTTGGAAGGTGCGTGACAGAATGGATGTATCATATGAAGCCCTAACATTTTGAAGTTTCTTGCTGTTTTGTTTCTTTAATTTTACTTATTAACTAGAGCAACAGTATAAAGTTTAATTTGGATATATTTGCTGTTGTTTATGCACTCCAGGGAAAAGGGCAAATGTCAAATGAATTAAGCTGAGCTCTATGAATTAAGATGGGATTGATTACATTATGTTATATGATAATTCCATATTTTACAAATTGTGGTGTAGGTACAGTGTAAGTATGTATAGTGAGTGCTATACATATACATGTATTCCATTTCGGAACTTTTACACACAGACATTTTAAGGCTTTATCTCAGATTCATTTTAATGATAAATGTCAAAACATTACATTATCTGATGGACATATATTGATGCCAACTAACAATAGTGTTCGTTAACATACTACAAAACCCCAAAATTGACCTAGGATATTGCTGTTGCTATTATGAGGGTCAAGATGGGAGTGTCTGAAAATCAGTAAACAGTATAATTTTGGTATTTTAACGTCGGTAAATCTTTGAAAAGTGTTCTGAAATGATAAACAGTACTTTTTTCCTCATGCTCAACAGTAAATTTTTAGTGTTTTCACGACTGATGGTAACTGAAATTGAGTGAATCACGACTCACAATATACCCCATCAACACCCTCTATTATGCTTCATAATATGCCAATAACATAATATATTGGTGAGACTTTTTCTCTTGATGACTTTTTCTCTTGACTTGTCTGGCATTAAGGTGGGGTAATACGGGAAACAAAATTGCTGCAACTTGCAACAAAATCTGATTTCTATGCATGTTAATTGAAAATGTTTACGCATGTACATTACAAATCACGAGGCAACATGTGTTAACATTTCTACTTTACGTAACATGCGTTGAAATCAGATTTTGTGACCCTTGCAAGTTGCAGCAATTTTGTTGCCTGTATTACTCCACCTTCAGATAAAATAAATTATCTGGAGTGCATTGTTAATTAATTATTTATATGACCCAAACTTCAAATGTCTTTGACAAGTAAAATTGTCTTACTAGCTTTAAACAGGTACCTAGCTGCTTTTATTTGTCTAAGTATATTGCCAGATAATTTTACTTGTCGAAGGAAAAGTGACAATTAACCTGCCGTTGTACATTTCTCTAATATTAATGACATTCTAGGCAGTTTAAGGCAGCATAATCTAGCCTACATTGTTAGTTTACCCTAGCTTCCTTAAAGGCCAGAACATTTTGTTGCATGTAAAAAACTTCTTGTTTGCAAGCAGAAGGAAAGAAAATTTACTCATGAGTACAGGGTTTGGTTTATGTTTTTGTGTTTTGCAATGATAAAAATATTTGATGGATCAATTTAGCAACAGCTGCAAGTGATTTAGCTCAATAAAATCTAATTAGAATTTTAATTAGAATCATGTATTTATTTATGCAGTTGATGCATAAATTAAACCAGAGTGAGTGTAAAATATAATGTTATGCTGTTTTGGAAAAAAAATATTGTGAAATGGTAGTACGAATGCGATTCTATCAAAGAATATATGTTAGCCTAGTATATAATTGGAATAAGATATGAATTTACAGTTTTGTTAATTAAATTTGTTATTACTTTATTCTATATGTTGTTGTATAATATTATTCTACTTAATTTGCATTTGCTTATTTAAAAATTTAAAAGGGAATTGCAGTATTTAAAAATTCATGATATTCTTAATTTGTCTGTTGCTGCCTGATAATGTTATTTGTATCATTGCTATGGCAACCATTATTGTCTTCACGCAATAAAGTGAAACTCAAATTGTTATGGGGCTTTGGTTGTCCATCCTGGGAATCCATGTCAAGAATCCTTGGGCTTAGTAAAGTAGCAAAATCCTCTACCCCATTTCTGATTGACATACAGCTATTTCAATTAAGGTTGTTGCCGAGCAATTAGCGGAAAAGTGGAATACAAGCGTAAAAGGTTTGCTGGGAATTACTAAAAAATTAATGAATTTTTTAACGATTCCCAGCAAGCCTTTCGTGCTCGGGACAACCTTAATTAATTGAAATAGCTGTATACATACTTGCGCATTTTATTCACAATTTCATTTTCAATACCCCCCCCCCCCCTTAATGTTGCGTAAAACTGTGCTAGTCTAACACACTACACAAAACATTGAATGGGAAAGGGGGTTGCTATGCTTGTTATTGTAGTGGGAGTCAAATTTCACTCTGTCAGTTTCAAGTGCGCCAGTATTTTTGAGCAGGATTGATCTAGATGTAATTGAAGGTTGTATAAAACAATTATTATATAGGAAATATTATGTGGACATAACAAGACGAGAAGATGCATTTGATTTGTCTGGACCATTTCTACCACCACAGGAACCAACACCTCAGAGACCTGTAAGTACTGGAAATACACTGCACAAAAAAGCATTCCTCCCCCCTGCACGACGACAAGGTACCAGTTTATTGGGGTGGGGGACTTAATAATTTGCGTGCTTGATAATTCTAGTAATTGATGCTCATGTACATGATTCTAGTAATTCTTTTTTCGCATTTGACCCTGGGCCTAAAATACCAAATGGTCCCGTGATCCAATAATTTTTAATAGACAGGTTTAGAAAAGACGACGAGGCAAACACGATGACGAGGTTTCAATTTCATCTCAAGTTTGAGAGCTAAGGAACTTGATTACTGTAATAAATTGAAGCTTTTTAAAATAACCTTACACACGGTTTTACGACTTAGTTTAACGTTGTGTTCAGAACGAGTCTGAACGACAACGTTGTTGAGGACATCCTTGGGACCGCAAATTATTCAAACTTTTTGTTTTGCATGAAGAATTTTTTGTTTCGAAGGCGGGTCTTTTAGTTCACGTCGTGTTTTCTAAATCAGTGTGTTAGCTCTCCGGCGCTAGCCAACTTTCATCGACTGTCATGTTCCCAGGGACGCCAGAACTGGGGGGCAGGGGGGTGGCTGCCCCCTTGCCTTTTGCTAGGGGGGAAGGGGGGGGTGCAGAAGTGCCCTTTTAGTTGTAAAATACTACGTGATAAATCACATTTCCAACGATGCTTTTTGTAGGAAAATCATGAGATTCATGTAATTTAAAGTTAATATTTATAAAAAATTTTGAAAATTTTTGGAATTTAGAAAAATATTTTGAAGAAATGGGGAAAATTTTGATATGTCCGGAAAAATTTTTGACCCCGAAAATGGTACACTGACCGAAATTTTTTTTGGCGACGGGGGGGGGGGGATCGCCCAAAAATTTTCCATTGAAAAAAATTTCCCAGTAGATTTTGAAGTTTTGCTCTATAGAGGTGCCCTTGGTGTGCGTCCGCCCCCCTTTGCCTTATTATCGTTCCGGCGTCCCTGCATGTTCCGGTTTGATCCGGGCTTTATGTAATATTTCAAATGCGACTATGAGGACTGGACTAGATTTCACGTCCGCGCAATTTGATCAAGTCCGAGGTATTAAACACGTCCGAGGCGAAGCCAAGGATTGGTTCAAAATACGAGGACTTGAAATCTAATCCGAATTGGAGGATTTGAAATGACATCTCATACGAACAAATCACTACTTGAAGTGAGGTGAATTAATTTTGATCCAGTCCTAGGACTGAATTAATTTTGATCCAGTCTAGGACTGAATTAATTTTGATCCAGTCTAGGACTGAATTTATTTTGATCCAGTCTAGGACTGAATTAATTTTGATCCAGTCTAGGACTGAATTTATTTTGATCCAGTCTAGGACTGAATTTATTTTGATCCAGTCTAGGACTGAATTTATTTTGATCCAGTCTAGGACTGAATTTATTTTGGTCCAGTCTAGGACTAGATTTATTTTGATCCAGTCTAGGACTGGATTTATTTTGATCCAGTCTAGGACTGAATTTATTTTGATCCAGTCTAGGACTGAATTTATTTTGGTCCAGTCTAGGACTAGATTTATTTTGATCCAGTCTAGGACTGGATTTATTTTGATCCAGTCTAGGACTGAATTTATTTTGATCCAGTCTAGGACTGAATTTATTTTGGTCCAGTCTAGGACTAGATTTATTTTGATCCAGTCTAGGACTGGATTTATTTTGATCCAGTCTAGGACTGAATTTATTTTGATCCAGTCTAGGACTGAATTTATTTTGGTCCAGTCTAGGACTAGATTTATTTTGATCCAGTCTAGGACTGGATTTATTTTGATCCAGTCTAGGACTGAATTTATTTTGATCCAGTCTAGGACTGAATTTATTTTGGTCCAGTCTAGGACTAGATTTATTTTGATCCAGTCTAGGACTGGATTTATTTTGATCCAGTCTAGGACTGAATTTATTTTGATCCAGTCTAGGACTGAATTTATTTTGGTCCAGTCTAGGACTAGATTTATTTTGATCCAGTCTAGGACTGGATTTATTTTGATCCAGTCTAGGACTGAATTTATTTTTATCCAGTCTAGGACTGAATTTATTTTTATCCAGTCTAGGACTGGATTTATTTTGATCCAGTCTAGGACTGAATTTATTTTGATCCATGCAGTCCTAGGATCAATATACTTCACCATGCACTGAGGTATCCAGTATTATCGTGTGAGCAAAATAAGGCAATATGGTTGGCTAATCTCAAACTCATTAATAATTCATGAGAATTATTAATGAGTTTGAGATTTAATATAATAGACAATCTTGGCAAAAAAGTATATATTCCCGGAAAGAGCATACAAAAATGAGTAAAATTGCTAAGACCCTTGCAAAGTTCGCAAATTTTGTATTCTTTTGTATTGCGTGCGGAAATTGCTACCACATTTGGGGCGAAAAAGTAGTAATTTCCGCACGCAATACAAAATTTATTGCAAGGCTATATTTTCCGCATTTTACAACATTTCGCAGCCAAACTTTGCCATTTTACTCATTTTAGTATGGTCTTTCTAGCTGTGGTGATTTATTTGCATCTCCTTGCCTAGTTTTAAAATTAGTCTATAATGGGAATTGTCAATTGTGTTTGTTCATCAGGGACCAACGCTGGCATACGATGGTATTCACGACCGAAGTCTTAAACATTACTTCCGAGACCCTGAGGTAAAAACACAAGTTGGTAAGATGACGATATCATCGGGAAAAGCCTGCCGCGAGAGCGAGATAAGACGCGTGCTGGATGGCGAGATGTCCAGAAGGAATTATAAGTTAGACAACGAATCACAGTCACCATATCTCAGCAACATGAGGAAACGAAATACACCACCCAGACATAGACCTCAGGCTTTGATAAGTGTTGACGAGTATTTGAAGACGAAGAAAGGAGCTAAGCAAAGGTATGGTGTGATAGTCGATATCATATAGACGTAGAGGAGGAAAGTAATTAGGGGGCGGGGGGGAGGGGGGCAGACTAAAATTTGCCTGATTTTGATGGGAATTATCTGACCAATACAAAATAGTTTTTCGTCATAAATTTTTTTTGGTCCCGGGGGGAGGGAGTTGGGGATCCGCGAAAAAGTTTCGAGACACCAGTCAAAACGTTTTGGCGAAGTTACATATTCCTTCTTTTTTTTATTACTTTACTATTTCGCATCGCGCTTCCTTTTAATCATTTGCCCAATTTTTTAGTAGAATTTTTTTCTTTTTATGTAGCATAAACCATCGGCCAATTTTTCAGTAGAATCTGTACGATTTTTAAGTATAATTTCTTGAATTAAGCATGGTTGGACTGATGAGATGACACTAAGGAATCTTGGAGTCAATTCCATGTGTAACTGTTCGTGTATTCAATTGACAACTTGCGTGTTAGACTAAATTTTAATCTAAGTAAAGAGGAGGGAATCAAACACCACAGCTAAAAAGAACATAATGAAATTAGTAAAATTGCAAAATTTGGTTGCGAAATGTTGTAAAGCTTGGGAAATATAGCCTTGCGAAGTTTGCAAATTTTCGGCTCAAAAATGGTAACAATTTCGGCACGTAATACAAACATATACAAAAGATGCAAACTTCGCAAGGCTATATTTTCCGTATTTTACAACATTTCATAACCAAATTAAACCAAATTTTGCAATTTTACTAATTTTAATAAGTTCTTTTCGGGAATTTATTTTATTTGCCTAGATCAAAAATTAGTCTAACATGCAAGTTGTCTATTGTGCCCTTTATCTAGAACTCCTAGTTACAGGTTACTGAATGAATACCTTTCAGAAACCTGTACTTTATGTCCTTCGTTTTAAAAACTAAGTACACCTTGAGTCTTAAATTTGTACCTGCTTGAGTACGAGGCAATAGTTACTGGAGTAACAGTCAAGGCCGGATTTTGGTGGAAATAGTGGGGAGGTGGAAAAAAAATTTAGGGGAGGTGCAGCGGTTTAGCTCACAACCGTCAACCCCCATGGAAAGTTAGGGCTTAGAACGGGCCAAAGTCAACGACGTGACGTATGCATGTAGTGTACATATGTATCAGTGTATTAATGAATTGATTGTACAACTCATCCAATTTTGCCCTTCATCACAATTCACCTGTTCACCAATAGCGACGCCATCTTGAATTTCGCGTTTAACGCAATGCATTATGTGTGGTCCAGGGTAATTGAGCGTTTTTGAAGGGCTGTAAATCAAATATGTAGGCGAAAACACACGTTTTTATAGTTGAAAATAACAGACAATTTTTAGAAGAACTAGGAAAACACACAAAAGCTGGAAAAAATTTTAAAAATCAGGATAAAATCTATAGTTTAAATCTTTCTTAGGCCTAAAAAGGGAAATAATTTCAACAAAGTGCGCATAAAATTGATTTACACTGCCTCATTGTCCTCAAGAAAGTGTTTATGAAAAAAATTATCGTATTGTGTCTCAATACGACATTAAAGGCTTTTGAATTCGGATTTTTACCACTGAGCTATAATGATTTTTACCCTGGATAACCCATAATGCATCATGATTCAAGATGGCGTCGCTATTGGTGAATAAGTGAATTACTACAACGTTTTTTCAAAATATCACACCAAAAGGGCACTTAATTGACACAGAGATGAATGGCTATCACTGTTTCAATTTTACTGAAAAACGTTCTTACGAAGTGTAGACCCAAAGCGACCAAAGAAGTCACTTTGATCTATCATTGAAACTTTCCCTATAGGGGAGGTGCATGACTTTTCAGGGGAGGTGCAAAAATTTTCAGTGGATGTACAAAACGATCTCAGGGGAGGTGCGCACCTCCCCACACCTCCCCCCAAAATCCAGCAATAGTACCAGTTAGGTACGGATAAAAATCTTGAATTATCGCATCCTGATGTGTAAAATATATTGTTGAACAGAAAAGTGAAGCCAGATCTGATTGGTAAGCCACGGAAAGCTGTGAGAAGATCTCCACCTCAATTTGTGAGCAAGAACGAACATGAACGCCTGGTTAATATGGCCGCCAGGTTGATTGCGGCAACTGTAAGTGGACAATCATGAAATGTCATCATGTTACATCAGGCAAATTTCCGTTCGCGCAGTCAGAACTGCAGCAAGAATTGCCTCATCGAACATGGCCTGCGTGGCAGGTGTTTATTTGCTTGCGGGCGATGTGTGACCTCTTGTTTAAATCTCGTATCCAGTTCTTCTCATTAGACAGATTTAGATCGAGGACGCGGACACAGAATAGATACTAGACCAGAAGGGTCACTCAGACGATATTTCGTCCGAAATTTTACGAGTGCTGACGTGAAAATACGCCATCATATGACGCCATCCTGGAGTGCACACGGACGTTTTTCATAGGACAAACATAGATACAAAGTGCCGTGTGCACTCCAGGATGGCGTCATAGCACGTAAAAAATTTCGGACGTTTTTCCTAAGCCAAAACACATAGGAGTGTCCCTTCTGGTTTAGTATCTATTCTGTGACGCGGACGTCAAAGACGACGTGAAAATGGCGTGTTGTGCCCATGTACATAGAGATTATAAATAACACTAGAGGGGGCATTGTAATCTTAATTCAGTAAAAAAAAGGGAACGCGACTATTGGGGGGCAAATTCAAGTCCCGGATGTGTAATCGTGTTCCCATTGGTGACGAGTTTCAAATCAGCCAATGAGAGCACGATTTTATATCCGGGACTTGAATTTGCCCCCCAATAGCTGCGTTCCCAATTTTTAAACTCGATGCCTCCTCTAGTGTTATTTATAATCTCTATGGTATTACGCATGTTGGCCGCCATTTTCCCAGCCAGTCAATAACATTTTCTGGCCAATAAACACGCTGTACTGGCTGGCAATCTCGTTCCCTGAGCCTGCAATCCTCGGGAAGGAACGTGAGGCTCTAGGATAATCCGTTGCCGGAAGCCAGGAATCCTGGCTAGTCTGGCTAAGATTGAACTGCGCATTCCATATCAACGGCCAATCAGATTCCTCCCTGAAACGGATTATCCCAGAGCCTCGTGTTCCTTCCCGAGGATCGCAGGCTCGGGTAACGAGATTGTACTGGCTGGCTGCTCCGCCTTCTGGCCAATAAACTGCATATTTTTGCATAAAAAAACGAGGACACGTTGCACCGAGTGGCCCTTCTGCATGTCACTGATCTTTATTCTGTGCTTTTAACGTTACCCGTGCCGTTCGTGCTGTCAACTGAACGTCGCTTGCTTAAGCTCGCTATTGTTAGAAGCGACATTTCAAACGCTATAGTCTAGAGATTAACAAAATAAAGGTTTGATGAGTTTTCTAACTGTGGTTTGAATTAAATAGAATACATGATAATGTTCATGGGAAAGCATTGAGAACAGCTAACCAAGGTCGCGTGACTGCCAACTCTCATGCATTCTCGTCCTCGTTTCATCCGCGAGCTTAAGTCATGTTAAGACTGCATGTAGTGATTTGGTGAAGATTGTAATAAACAGTAGTGATTTGGTGAAGATCCTAATAAACTTTTGGCCGTAAATATTGGAAAGTTTTTTGAATATCTAAAGGCTTTACCTTAGTCCCGTGTGTTACTACTTCAAGCTGCCATCTAAATCATAGATAATCTAAATGCTATAGTGACAGTGTCCTGTGATGTAAAACAGTAAGTACGGTAATCGCGTTCCTCTAAGTCAGCCTTCGATCGCCATGCTCAGGATCTATAAGCTCTCCATGAATGTAATGACTAATATTAGATCTAACTGCTCTCTCTCTCTCTCTCTATATATATATATTCCAATCTTTAAACTTACTTCTGTTCCCAGCGGTATACGATAAGATTAATTTAAAGAATCAATGACTCTGCAACATATAGCCAGAGGCTGCAATATGACTGTTAAAAAATGTGTGTCACAATAACCTTCACTCATAAAGAATTAGACCGGAAAATAAAATGCTAATTGCTCTGTTAATACGTCATTTAATGAACTGCAATTAATCAAAGAATTCTTTATAGAATTTGTAAGAAGACCAAAATAACAATTTTTGCTTCATCAGCAGGCATCTTGAGTTCAACCTTTCCAATCACTCTCTGTATTAAATATCCGCTGCGACCAGCCGTGCTCTGTAATCTATAAAGAGAGTTTATACCCTCGCTCTCCCACTTCTATACTATAGATGCCTATATCTAGATAGTTTTAAACAAAGTAGATTTTAACAAAATAAATTTTATGTTGTGCAGTTTCCAAAGTTAAGATGAACGAAATCCACAGAATGGAGTTTAAAGATGATTTCCACTCCGTTCTGCGCATCAGTTCGCTCATAACAAAGGGGAACCCCCAGATATAAACATTGCCCAAATTTTGCATTTTTCGAACTTTTTTGAATTGAAACGTAGAGTTTATATTCATTTACAAGTATAGCGAACCAGAAAAGTGTTAGATATTCAGTTAGTATATCATATTTTACAAATATAGCAGTTCAAAACGTAAACAAAGTTTGTGCATGTGCACAGGAGTGGACATCATCTTTAAATACGTAAGCTGAACCCAATAGAACACAAGTCGTAGCAATTGTATAGCCACCTTTACAAATTGTCAAATGTTTATACGTGCATGCAAATTAGACCGTTTTAGAGAGAGCTATGTAAAATAGCATTTTTATCTTACAATACATTTTACGTGACTTTGCCTGAAGAATAAAATGTCGTTAAAATTCGAAATATAACGATTTTCTATTTTCTTGTTTAAATTTTTACCAAGATTCAATATAATTGAAAAGGTTTCATCAAGATGAAAGGCACTGTGAAA